GGGAGGATATTCCTGTAAAGTTTATTTGGGGAGCGGGTAGGGGAGGAGAAAGACAACAGTTTTTTGGGGGAGAAGATTTCGCTGAGAAACCCATATAGAAACTTAGCGGCTTCTCCTGCTCCGCCTGCCCAACTCTGCATTTCCCAACTGAACCACCCCGGAGGGATTTGACACATAGAAGATAGAAGGAGGCCATTCTGCCCTTCGAGCCTGCTCCGCCATTCACCACAATCATGGCTGATCGTCCAAATCAGTAGCCTAATCCTGCTTGCTCCCCATAACCTTTGATCCCTCTTGCCCCAAGTGCTATATTTAGTCGCCTCTTGAATACATTCAATGTTTTGACATCAAATACTTCCTGCGGTGGTGAATTCCACAGGCTCACCACTCTTTGGGTGAAGAAATGTCTCCTCATTTCCATCATAAATGGTCTACCCTGAATCCTCAGACTGTGACCCCTGGTTCTGGACACACCCACCATCAGGAACATCCTCCCTGCATCTACCCTGTCTAGGCTTGTTAGAATTTTATAAGTCTCTATGAAAGTCCCCCGCTCACTTGTCTGAACTCCAGCGAAAACAATCTTAACCTTGACAATCTCTCCCGATACATCAGACCTGCCATTCCTGGACTCAGCTGGTAAACCTTCGCTGCACTCCCTTAAGAGCAAGAGCATCCTTCCTCAGTGGAGGAGACCAAAACTGTACACAATATGCTAGGTGTGGCCTCACCAAGGCCCTGTTTAACTGCAACAACACATCCCTGCTCCTGTACTCAAACCTCTCGCAATGAAGGCCAACATACCATTTGCCTTCTTTACCGCCTGCTGCACCTGCACGCTTACCTTCAGAGATAGTAGGAACTGCAGATGCTGGACAATCTGAGATAACAAGGTGTAGAGCTGGATGAACACAGCAGGCCAAGCAGCATCAGAGGAGCAGGAAAGCTGACGTTTCGGGCCTAGCTAGGCCTGAAACGTCAGCCTGCCTGCTGTGTTCATCCAGCTCTACACCTTGTTATCTCTGCTTACCTTCAGCAACTGATGCATTAGGACACCCAGGTCCCGCTGCACACTCCCCTCTCCCAGTTTACAGCCATTCAGGTAGTAAGCTGCCTTCTTATTTTTGCTTCCAAAGTGCATAACCTCACATTTATCCAAATTATACTGCATCTGCCATTGATTTGCCGATTCACCCAAGCTGCCCAGATCATGCTGAAGGATCTCGGCATCCTTTTCCAGTTCACCCTCCCACCCAACCTGGTATCGTCTGAAAACATTGAGATGTTACATTTTGTTTCCTCATCCAAATCATTAATATTTATTGTGAATAGTTGGGGTCTCAGCATTGATCCCTGTGGCACTCCACTAGTTATTGCCAGCCAATTTGAAAAGGACCCATTAATTCCTAATCTTTGTTTCCTCTCCGCCAACCAGTTTTCTATCCATCTCGATATACTTCTCCCAATCCCATGCACTTTAATCTTGCACAGTAATCTCTTATGCGTACTTTGTCAAGAAAGATTGTGTATTTTCTTTGAAAGAGAGCAGACTTTCTCTCTTTCTCAATTTCTCCCTAAATCCTTCGTCTTTCCCCCCACCCAAATCCTTTCTCTCTCTCTCTGATTCCGCCCAAATCCTTTCCTTTCTCTTTCTTCTCCAATTACTCCCTCTCTCCAAGTCTTTTCCTCTCTGTCTTCGCTCTACACAACACCAATGAGGGAATCTGTGAACAGAGAAAATTTTGTCAGATGAGACACATTCTAATACTTAACGCTGGATGTAGTCCAGAGAGGGTTCACAAGGCCAATCCTTGGGAAGAAACAGTTTGCCTTTGAAAGATTGTGTCTTCTTGGAATTAATGAGAGATGTTATCGTCAAAGGTCTAGACAGGGGAGATGCTGAGAAGGTAATTCTTCTCGCTTCTGTCCTGAAATGGCAACCCCTAATTTTAAAACAGGGTTCTCAAGTTCTGGACTGACCCACACGAGAAAACATCCTTTCCATGTCCACCTTGTCAAGACCATTCAATCATTTGACCAAGTCACTCCTCACTCTACTAAACTCCAATGGAAACAAGCCCAATCTGTCCAACGCTTCCTCATGAGAAAACCCACTCATTTCAGTTATCAATCTTGTAAATCTGCTCTAACACATTTACATCCTTAAATAAGGAGACAAAAGTGCAACCAATATTCAAGAAGTGGTCTCACCAATGTCCTATATAACTAAATGTCCTATATACTTTTACATTCAATTCCACTTATATTAGAGAACATGAAGCTAATTGCCTTCTTGATTACATGTTGTATCTGCCACTACCCTTTTGTGACTCATGCACCAAAACACCTAAATCTCTCTGCATCTCTCAGTTCTGCATTCTCTGCTTAAACAGTATTCTGCTTTTGGCAGGAAGAGTAAAATAGTGAGCAACTTCTTTCCCGACCTGTCAGGGTTTTTACACATTCACTCAACCTACCTGTATCCACCTGCAACTTCCTTATGTTTTCACAACATACCTTCCTACCTATCTAGACTAATACCTGGAATGGGCAGGTGTCTTATAAGGAAAGTTTGGTCATGCTCGGCTTGTATCCATTGGAGATTAGAAGAGTAAGAGGCACCTTGATTGAAACATATAAGATCCCTTTATATAAGGGTCTTAACAGCATGCATATAGAATGGGTGTCTCTAATGGGAGAATCCAGAACTTTAAATTACTGTTTAAAAATACAGTATCGGAGTTGGAGTTGAGGCACTCTTCCTTCATCTGAGGGCCATGAGTCCTTTGAATACTCTTCCTCAGAAGTTGCATAACCAGAATCTTTTTGATACTTGTAAGACAGAGGTGGATAGATTCTTGAGAAGTAACAGAATGAAAGGTGGTTATCAGGGGCTAAGTGGATATGTGGATAATCAGATAAGCCATGATCTTATCGAATGGTTAAAGGGGCTGAGTGGCCAACTCCTAACTTGTACATTTTTCTTATGTTCTTTGTTCTTAACCTGAGTCTTTCAGGGAATAGGATTTATAACACAGACTCAGTATTAATATCATAACATCTTGCCAATGGCATTAGTGAAAAGGAAATATAGGAGTTAAAAATGAAATCATTGTCATAGATACTATTATCTCCATTCTGGTTTTGCATAACTGGTCACCCAGAAAACCCGATGCATGATGAAACACTGATAGAGACTTCAGATTTGAATGTGGTTAGTGATAGTTTAGTAAAATTATTTTATTGACTTTGTTCCCAGGAGTCATAGATCTTGTTAGTAATCAAGAGGATTTTGCAAGAGTTAAGTGGATGACTGCTGAGATTTCATCCCCAACGTTCAATAAACAGCTACAATTTGCATAGAGAGTCACTGAGCAGAACTGAGAGCAGGTCAACATTTGTTTGTTTATTCTTTTACAAGGCTTCCACGGTTCAATACTGCATTGTCTTCACGTACACAGCATGAATAAATAGCTGCTTGCATTTCATCGTTAGTGAAATGGAAAAAGTGTGAGCTTTTAAAGGAGGAAGGTTACCAAATTCATAAATTAGTACTGACAGGAATTTTAGACTGAAGTTACAACCAAGGACTGGTGAGAGCTTTTATTCTATAATTTTAATGGTAGTTCAAAATGAATAAACTCAGTTTGATTCTGGTGAGAGTTTGGTGCCAGGAGCTCAGAGCTCAGTTGTACAGAGGGTTGGCAGTCCAGCAAATCCTTGTAATGTATTCGGAATCAAGTGCATGGGCCATAATGGGTCAAGACAAGCAAAGACAGATTAGGTTTCTGTAGTGCCTTTGATGATGACAGGAAGTGCTTTTCAAAGAGTCGTAATGTAGGAAACAGAGCAGCCAAAGTGGACACAGCAAGCTCCCACAAACAGCAATCTGGTCATTATCAGATAATTTATTTGTGTGATGTTGATTGGGTGGCATGGTGGCTCAGTGGTTAGCACTGCTGCGTCACAGTGCCAGGGACCCAGGTTCGATTCCACCCTCGGGCAACTATGCAAACTTCACACAGACGTTCACCCCATGTCTGCGTGGGTTTCCTCCTGGGGCTTCAGTTTCCACCCACAGTCCAAAGATGTGCAGGTTAGTTGGATTGGCCATGCTAAATTGACCAAGCATCTGAAGGCTAGATGGGTTTGCCATGGAAAATGCAGGGTTACGAGGGTAGAGTAGATGGGTGGGTCTAGGTGGGATGCTCTTCAGAGGGTTCGTGCGGACTTGATGGGCTGAATAGCCTGCTTCCACATTGTAGGGATTCAATGATTGGGGGAATAAATTTTGCCCAGGACATTAGGGAGAACTCTCATCTCCATCTTCAAACTAATACTGTGGAATCTTATATATCCGCCTGAGAAAGTGATTGAAATTAACCTATTCAAAGATGCAACCCCTCAGTACTGCACAGGATGGTCAGTCTAGAGGTTTGTGCCCATATCCTGTAATGTTTCACAGTGCTGCCAGGATAAATGACATTAATGGAACTGACAGGAAAGCCTCTGTGTATAGGAGTCAAACCAACCAAAGCAGGACATGATCGATTATAGTTAGTTTATTTGAGGTTTTCCACTTGGAAAGTAAGCAAGGCAGATTGAAAACCAAGACAAGATGAATGGTAATGGCTGGATCAGTTCTATAACATGTAACAGGTGAAAGTAGTGAACAGTCATTAAGGGCACAATACAGCTGCAGGAGTAGGAAAGGAAAGAGCGATTAATACATTCATTGCTGCTGGAGTGAGATCTGGAACAAACAGAAAGCTGACACAGAAATAATTGTCACTTGAAACCGTGTTTGCAGCAGACCCAGCAATGAGGAACAATTTAAGATGCTATGAAAAGGGGTGAGAATTGCGGCCTGAGAGACAAATCAGGATTGATGAAATTGTTTAAACGATGGCAAAAGG